GGGCCGGGACTCCGGGTCCTGCCCGCTGACCTCGCCGCGCGCCGGCCGCAGATACAGCTCCAGCTCCGCCTCCCCGCGCGCCCCAACCAGCCACAGCTGCACGCAGTTGAGGGACCCCGAGAAGAGCCAGGTCCCGGTGGCCACGCGGATGCGGTAGCTGTACATGATGCCTGCCTAGGCGTCAGGGTTTCTCGACGGTGCTGGACAGATGATGGGCAGCTAGCCCTTGACGTTGTCTCCAGGACTAGTCTGGGACTTAATATAGGAAGGATTCTGCATGTCCACCCACTATATAGGATTTGAGGTGTTCCTGGGGCCCCACCTTAGACAACTCCCAACCCATGACTGGCCCCTAGTAAATAAGGGACTGGATGGGTTGGGGTGGGAGGAGGTTGTGAGGAGTTAATTCTCTTGTTGATCATTCCAGAATGATTAATTCTTTTGCTAATCATTCCAGAATATATTTGTGTATTAGATCATGTTGTACACTTTCAATATATACAATTAGGGGCCATAATCATTTAGGTTTGGGGGTAGGAGTAGGCAGGAAGCTTGCTTTTCACTATATTTGAATTTTGCCATGAGAAAAAAAATTATCCAGAAAAAACCCTTTCTATTATAAACAATGAATGAATGCCAGGTAAGAAAGAGTTGTGGAAGTCGTTTTGACTTTATAGAGAATATGCTCAGAAAAAAACTAGGGGTCAAATGCAGCAATAAAAACTATACCAATGGAGGACTTTTCTTCAAAATACAATAGCTTTGAGGGTATTTGGATGACAAAAACTAGAGAGAAACATTGATGATCTAGGACACAGAAGACATTGCTGAAGAAGAAACAATTGACTGAGTGGGATGAATTCAAAGTGTATGTCATCTGCTGGCCTCCGATGGGGAGGGAGGACAGGATGCAGAATGGGGATGGATGCAAATGAGAGGGAAATAGAAAATTCTGTGTAGGAAAGTTGAGGAGGTTCCATCTATGATGGGATGAATTGTGCCCTCCCAAATTCATATGCTAAAATTCTAGTTGCCAGTATCTAGAATGTGACTGTATTTGGAGATAGATCCTTGAAAGATGTAATTAAGGCAAAATGAGATCATCCTGGCAGGCTCTAATCCATTGTGACTGGAGTCCTCTTAGATCACACTCATACACAGAAGATCATATAAAAAATTAGGGAAAAGCAGGCCATCTCCAAGCCAGAAAGAGTGCTATGTGGAAGAACCAAGTCTATCAACATCATGATCTTGGATTTCTAGCCTCCAGAACTGTGAGGAAACAAGCGTCTGTTGTGGGCTCTGTGTTATGCCAGCCAGGGCTGATTAAGATGCCATCTGACAGTTTCTATGTTCACTCCACCCTTCTCCCCAGTCACTGACAGGAGCTTATACTCTTCTTCTCAGTGTCCCAGGTATCACATTCCCTGACTCTATTTTTCAGAGCTAGACCAAAAGGTAGGGTTATGCTGTCTCAGCCCATCTTGCACAACCAAAGGTGGAAGGGCTCATGGGTGCGTAGCTCATCTCAAGGTGCAGAGACAAAGACTGCCCAATCTCTGGGGCCTTTGGTTATACTACTGAAGCAGGAAATTGCTAAATCTGCTGCTTGGATTCTGTTGCTTGATGGAGTGGAAAGTTCCTGTGATGTGCTTCACCCCCTTCCCAAACAATAAAGAAAGTCTATGATAGATGGGGTGACAAGCTTCCGCATACAAACTATAGCAAATGTTAACTGAGAGAAGAAAGGATAGAAACCCTAAAGGAGGCATCACAAGACTAGAACCTGACTCACACAGAAGGTGGGAGTGGAGGGGATTAACGTGACCATTCACCCAGCTATAGAGATCAAGATCCTTTGGCTCCAATGCCTATCACAAGGCATAGACCCAAGCGGGAATGGGACTGCTCTAGGGAGTGTCTGAGGGTAAAAAATGGAGATTGGGTCCATCGAGGAATTCTGGTCTCTTTTGGATAGTTGCCAAAATCAGCAACAAACAGGCCACTCCACAAAGGAATAGCTCCCTGCCCCCTGCCAAGATAAACTGACTGTATCAGGGCAGTCTCTGCACTGGCCCGGGCAGCAGTCCCGTCCACCTGTGCCTATGCAGGTGCTTCTTTCTGACCATTCCCTCCCGTCACAGGGCAGCAGCCTCCTGCCTGCCCATGACCTGTACCTGCCAGGGCTTCTCTTCATTGATCTCCCTCAGTGGAGGCCGCTCTTCTCAAGGCCCTCTGCCTGTGACCATGCAGGCCTCTTTCAACAAACCTGTCCCTTTCAGGGCAGCCTTCTCCCTGTTTGTGTCTATGCAAGTGTCTTTTATTCTTCGGTCCTGTTCTCTAATAAACCTGTTCTTTTCAATATAACTAATGTCTCTGTGTTATGGAGAAACTCAGCTCAGAAACTTGTCATGTGCTGCTGAAAGAGGAGCTCTGATGAAACCTTTCCCAGAGTGGACCCAAGGACCCCGCCCTCCAAACCCACCGACTCCAAACTACATCAGTACCATGCCTGTAATTTGGGAGCTAACCCACTGGACCTTCCAGTGTGATGAATCAATCTCTCTCCACCTCTCTGAATGCTGCCTCATTTCTCTGAGAAAATTGCCATAACAACACTTCCAAGCTTGACATTTCTTTTAAACATCTCTTGTTTTACATCTTGCACTCATCAATTTCTCAACCTTATTCATTGCCTGACAACTGGTGCTGACCTTTTGTTGAGCAATGGGCGAGCCAGGGGAGGTCTGCTGTGCCAAGTAGGTCAGCTCCCTGATGGGGGATTGAACTCAGGCCATAGGTGATAATGCCGAAACTAAACCCGTAGGCCACAGGAAGGTTCAGCTACTATTTTTTTGTTGTTATTGTTGTTTTTGTTTTTAAAGATTTATTTATTTGTGCATACAGAACTGGGATTCAGGCCAGAGATGCAGGGGCGGTGAGAGGATTCACCAGAGACAGAGTGGGGAGCAGAAAAGGCCAACTGACAAAGTATACTGCTGAGAGGTGCAGTGGGCGTGTCAGGAGAGGTCCACCAGCACCATGTGGTCACCTCCAGGGCAGGCAGGGTTCGAACTCATGCTGAAGTGGCGTTAGCTTCTTAGTGCTGTGCTCTACCTGCTGCGCCACCGGGGAGGGCCTCAGCTACTGTTTTTATAGCACAGAGTAAAGGCAGTAACTTACACATCCATGAATATGATTAATTCTTTGCAATAAACTCTTCTGCAGAAGTTCTAGGGATATGGCAGGAAGTAGAGATTTATTGTTCAAAAGATATGGTTCAAATCCACTAACACTCTCAAAGGAAAAGTAGCTCTATCTCTTTTTCTGGTATAAGTGAAAAAACATTTAATTCTTATCTGAAAAAATGCACTGAAGTAGATCTAATTGTTCCAGCTTTAGAAGTAAAGACCTTAAAGTTCAAATAAGTGAAGCGATGTCCCCAATCACCACACACACACACACACACACACACACACTCACAAACATGCACTTGACTCATCCTGATGTTCTTCCTGAGCCGTGGGTGTTGCCTTCTGACCTCACTTATCTACTGAAACCTGTCCTAAATCACCTTTATGACCTGTCTGTTCCTAAATCCCAAGGTATTTTCTCAGCGATGATGGTGTCAAAGTCTGTGATATTTTGGCTTTTTGTAACTTTTATCTGACTGCCAGGAGAAGTGCTGTTGAGGCTCATGACCTCAGGCCACCCACTCTGTTCTCAGGGGAGACCCTTGGGAGAAAAACTGGCAGCAGACCAGAGCACTGTGGTCTTCAAGACCTCTCCTGGAAGTCCCCTGGAATCCAGCCCCACTGCCAGGTACCACAGGAGCGAAGAGGGATGCAGAAATTAAAAGAAAATCAGCAGAAACAATCCATAGTGTTATGAAACTTGGGTCTCCCCCTGTGAAATGACTTTTTTTTTTTTAAGTCTTTTGTCCATTTCCTGATTAGGTTGCCTGTTTCCTGATCAATTTGTAGGAATTCTTCATTTACTTTAGCCTGGGAGTTATTTTTTTATTAAAGATACTTTCTAAGATAGCATTTTATTTCTCTTGGCAGCCAGCATTTCACCAGGAAAAAACAGTATTGTATTACTGATGACCTTTTGAAGTAAAGAGGATTTTTTTCTCTAGGTAGTTTTAACATTTTTTCTACTTGTCATGGTTTGAGTTGTTTTACTATTATAAGAAGAGGGCTTTGGTTTGGTTTTTGTTTTTTCATTCTGTTTGGAGTTTGTAATGGTTGTTTAAGCTGTAATTGATGATGGGTTTTGGTTAATTCTCAGCCAAATCTGTTTTTCTCTCTTCTCTCTTCTCACCTTTGGTTGCGACCTAAAAGGACGCAGGTCAACTGGAAATTCAGGTCTTACAGAGACTGGAGGCCACCATCAAATGAGCTTAGTCTCCAGTTGTATATATATTTTTAAATAGACTTATTTATTTATGCACACATGAGCTGGGGTACAGGCCAGAGTTGCTAGGGGTGAGAGGATTCACCAGAGAGAGTGGGGAACAGAACATGCAGACTGACTGAACACTGCTGAGGGCAGCAGAGGTCTGCCGCTCCACGTGGGTTACGTCCTTGGCCAGGAGTTGAACTCCTGCTGCAGTGGCTGTGGATAGTTCCATAGTGCAATGCTTTAACTCCTTGCACCACCAGGGAGGCCCCTCCTGGCACATAAGCAAATATTTTCTGAAGAAAGATGAGTCTAGTTAGAAAAAATAGACTAACTGACCTACACTAGACTTAACAGAATCTATAGGTCCAAAGTAGTTTCCCATGGAGTGAATTCAATGATATTTTATCCTTTTGGTTATAAGTGTCACCACTGCATATGGTCACAAACCTCTCACTTTTTTTTTTTTTTAAAGATTTATTTATTTATTCATACAGAACTGGGGTATAGGCCAGAGGCTCAGGGATGGTGAGAGGCTTCACCAGAGACAGAGTGGGGAGCAGAACAGGCAGACTGACGAAGTACACTGCTGAGGGGAGCAGCGGGCGGGTCAGGAGAGGTCTGGCTCGCCATGTGGTCTCCTCCGGGGCAGGTGGCAGGCGGGAATCGAACTCATGCGGAAGTGGCTTCAGATTCTCAGTGCTGTGCTTTAACCCGCTGCGCCACCAGGGAGGGCCAAACCTCTCACTTTTAAAATGATGGCTTATTTGATGGTATTTATGTTGCTTGTAGCTAATCCAAAAAGAGCAAAAGATGAATGAGTATGTGCTGGAGAAATAAACATAAGATCACTGGCAGAAGCTTAGGTAATTTTGTGATTTTGAAGAGAAATCCCTCCGTGGGTCAAAAACCAATACAAAGGATCTGTTGTTAGGCTTCCTGGGGATGAGACGGGGCCGAGATGAGGCAATGAGCTTGAAACTGGGATCCCAGTCTAACAGAACAGATGCCTCTCCAGAATTAGGGATGATTTCACACTTTATTTATTTTTTTTTAAAGATTTATTTATTTGTGCATACAGAACTGGGGTACAGGCCAGAGGCTCAGGGTCAGTGAGAGGCTTCACCAGAGACAGAGCAGGAAGCAGAACAGGCAGATTGAAGAAGTACACTGATGAGGGGAGCAGGAGAGGTCTGCCACGCCATGTGGATCTCCTCCGGGGCAGGTGGGGACCGAACTCATGCAGAAGCGGCTTTAGCTTCTCAGTGCTGTGCTTTAACCCGCTGCGCCACCAGGGAGGGCCACGCTTTATTTTTTTTACAGGTGGTTGCTGCATTGCAAACTCCAGGCAACACCATTCACATGAAATACAACACAAATGGCAACAACTAGAGTTTTGCAGAAGCATTTCCATGCAACGCAGATGGACTAGAACAGAAAGAACCATCCCCAGGACTATGAAATATTGTGGCTTTCATGATTTTGTCATAAGCAGCCCATGCAGGAATCACCCCAAAGAGTGATTTACAGATAACAGCCAGTCTGCCTCAGATGTTCCTGAGCAAAAATTAGCAAAATTTTAGATCACAGATAAAACTTCAGGTAAAAGACTTAGAGGACTTGAGGTCATGTGTTTAAAATTCCTAATGTGATGCCTGACCTTCTCGATCCTTCTTTGTCCATCCACTATTAGAGTTTAGGACTGTTTTAATTGTGGAAGGAGAAAGCAGAAAAGAAGAGGAAGATTATCTGGGTTCTGCAATATACCCAGAGAAAGGAAGAGGGTCGAGTGCAGAGGGGAGCAGCACCCTAATCAGAGGTGGGTGAAGGGGTATGTTGCTTGAGGACTCACAGAATCCTCAAGCCAAAAGCCAGGGCTAATGCCCAGATTCCTAGGCCCCACTGAGCTCCATCAGCAAGAACTGCCACCTGGCTTATAGAGGCTTAAGGAAATCTTTGATGGAAGCATGGACTGCAAGAAATCATTTCTGTTCCAGCAAAGCATCTGTATTTTTTTTCCCTCTGGAATATAAATGGGAGGGCAGAAAACAAAGGTCTTTTCCCCCCACTTCCTTCCTTTACTACCCACTATCAAGTTTTTTTTTTTTATTTAATCAGGCAGTTCTATTTATATATATTCATATCCTTTGGGGAAAGGAGAGGGAAGATATGGATCAAAGGGAGGAGTGCAGGGCTGGAGGTCTGCAAGACAGGGCAACTACAGGGATGCCAGCTTCCAAAATTCATCAGGAACCACCCCGAGCGGTACCTAGAACTGCAGGCACCTGTTCACCAGGAATGTGGCCCAAGGAGGAGGGAGTGCTGAGGGGCCAGGGTGCTCTGGGGCTGAGTGGGCAGGGCCTCCTCTCCTAGGTGGCCACTCTGTTCTCCACCATGCTGGGTCGAAGGTACTCATAGAGCAGGTCTAGGCTTGTGTTCCGGACCTCAATCTCCTTGTCCATGGTGGCCAGCTCCTCCTGGAATTGCTTCAGCACAACTTGGGGCTCAGGATCAAAGAAATATTCCTCCTTGTACTGCCCCAAGGCTACCTGGGAGGAGAGCAAGATGACTCAGACCTTGGGCCGGTTGGCCAAGAACACCAATCCTCCTCCAAGCTGCTCTGCCCCAGGACACCGACGTCTGTCTTTAACCATGACAGGCTGGTGTCGGCCAAGGAATTTTGTGAAGGTCTTCTGTATGCAGGCCTGGTGGAGATTAGGCAGAGTCTACTATGTCCTTCTTTGTCATGTCCTTGGAGATGGGAGGGGGCTTCCGCATGGTACATGGGCCGTTAGGGATCCAGGTGTGTTGGTCCAGGTGTGTCGGTCCAGCTACAGGAAGGAGAGCCATTCAGAAACCCAGAGCGATGACAGCCCCTATCTTCACATCCAGGAGTCCCTGAGAGATGTCACAGTGGGTTACCTGGCCCAGATGGGCAGAAGCGTGCTGAGCAGTGCACATGAAGATGCACATGGAGACAAAGTGGCAGAGCTGGGCCCGAGGCTCCAAGGAGACAGGGGACCTGGGAGAATTGAGGCGAATCAAAGCATTTGAGATAAGGCCACAAGGCAGATCTCAGGCAGTAAAAGATGTCAGAGATACAGGAAAGAATTTCTGTCTGTAGTTGTGACTTCTAGACTCTGTGTCTCACACCCAGTGTGGACACTCAGTCCTCACTTAATGCCATTGATAAGTTCTTGGAAATGGTGACTTTTTTTTTTAAGATTTATTTATTTATGCACACAGATCTGGGGTACAGGCCAGAGGTGCAGGGGCGGCAAGAGGATTCACCAGAGACAGAGTGGGGAGGAGAACAGGCAGATTGACAAGTACACTCCTGAGGGGAGCAGTGGGCGAGGCAGGAGAGGTCTGCTGTGCCAGGTGGGTCAGTTCCCTGGCTGGGGATCAAACTAGTGCTGCCTTGTAGTGCACCTTAACTCATTGTGCCACAAGGGAGGGCCTGGAAATGGTGACTTTAAGCCAAACAAAATAAAATGAAATCAATTTTATCATAAGCTAACTGCTATAAACAAGAGTGGAGTTCTTACAGCATATCTTTGGTTACAAAAACATTATCAAGCTTTAAGTAAAGACCCAGAACATTTCTATATTAAACATTTGTATTCTTTCAGCCAGTCACTTTCTAACCTGCTTCTCAGTAAGTAGGTGGGTAGCTGGAGACTATCCCAGTAGTTCATAGTTCAGAATACAAAGTGGGACCCCAACCTGCATAGGACACCCTTCCATCACAGGATGGATGTCCCACTCAGAGTGGGACAATGTAGACAGCCAACGAAGCTAACACAAACACCTGGAGAGGACCCACACAGACATGGGGAGACGTGCAAACCCCACACAGACAAGTAGATCCAGCCAGGAATCAATTTTTTTCTCATCTACATGATAAAAAAACAACATGTAATCAGAGGACCCCTGGGCTCAACTGGGGAGAAGGTAGGAAAGGGTCAAGACAGATACCCAAGAAAAACATCTGGTTCCAGAGTGCATGAGACTGAACACTGCAGAGAATGAGAAAGGAGGAGACCGGGGAATTGGGAGTGGTCATTAGGCTTTCTGGAGGAAGCTCTGGAAAGGTGGAGAGAATTTCAAGGTCCTCAAGATAGGGTTGCCTTATGGTGAGAGGTATGACTTGTCAACAAATGGGGTGAGTGGACTCAAGGTCAGTGGGAAGGGATCTGTGCCTCACCCACAATCCTGGCTTCCCTGCAGTCTGATCTCAGTGACCTCTCGGCACCAGGCCTGCAGCTCTGGGCCATTCTTTACAGCTTCATCACTCTTGTAGAAAAGACTGACCATCCTCTCCATGTACCTGCTCCCCAGGGACGAAAGCACCTGGTCTTAGGTGGCCAATGGAGGGCCTTCTGGACCCACAGCCCCCCACCCCCTTTTTCTCTCAGGTAGGCCCACTAGGATATCCCTCTCTATCACATTCACCAGTTGATGATTTCCCACAGCTTGATGGCATCTTGCCTATAGAAAGAAGATTTCACTCCAAGAGTCCACGGTCAGCCAGATCATCAGGCAGGCAGAGGGAACAATAGCTCAGACAAACTGTAGCTCTCTGGAGAATATCCACGTGGCCGCCATTACCAGTGCTCACCACCTGAGGACAGCCCACAGCAGATAAACTAGAGTTAGCTATGCCAGCTGGGGGGTTGGGGAAGGAGGTTAGTGTCAGAGTTAGGTTTATAGTTCTACTCAGGCCCTTTTAAGTAGAAAGTTATCGAGGTGTGAGGCAGATGAGGAAGAATTTAGGGGTTAGGGAGAAAGGGAAACCACCCTTAGAAGTCTTTTCACCCTTGAATCCTACTCCCCTTTTACCCATCCTTTTTCATACCAGATCAAAAATTCCCCATTCAGAGATAAGATTACTCTGGGCCAACATGTTGATCTCCATGGTATACTGAAAGTGAGGGATCAGGAGCTGACTGTAGAAGAAAGAAATGTGACATAGTCAAATAAAGGGATTTCAGTTTTGATAAGGGGATGGGAATGTAAAGGACCAAGGAAAGAAAAGAAAGGTGAAGATGGGACTTCATGAAAGTGAGAAACTCCCAATTGAATTTTAGCAGGTTAACACTGGGAGGAGAGAGATGAGGAAATGTCTTCTGTAGTCTCATGTTGTTTGCAAGAATTCTAGGGATCCCTTCTCTTACACCACAAAAGCTAGCAAACTTCCCACGAGTGAAACTATATCTTAAGCTTGTCTCTTATTCTTATCAATAAGGTATCTTTACTCTGTTCAAAGACAGATTCCTTCCATCCCTTTTTGCCTTCCTTGGGACATTATTCTTAATGTCAACTCTCTCTCTCTCTCTCTCTCTCTCTCTCTCTCTCTCTCTCTCTCTCTCTCTCTCTCTCGCGCGCGCGCGCACACACACACACACACACACACACAGAGCTCTAATTAACACTACCTCTAATATCTCACTTCCCCTTTCTCAATAAGTCTTAAAAGAATTATTTTGTATTGGTTCTACTTCCTTACTTCACAGTTTTTCATTAAGCCCACATGAATCACACTTCTCCTTTCTTCACAGTTTTTCATTAAGCCCACATGAATCACACTTCTTTCTCCTCAGCCAGCATTCATCAGAGGATTAACAGGAGACTTCCATATTGGAAAACACACAAACATTTCTTCATTGTAACTTTGCTGATCTCTCAGCAACATATGACACAGATAATCATGCCTACCTCTTGAAATCATTTCTTCTCTAGGCTCCTATGACATCAACTCTTTCGCTTTCCTCCCTGTCTCAATGGATGTCTTCCTCTTGCCTTTTCTTAATTATAAAGGCTGGGTACCCTCAAGCATGTCAAGTTCAAAAGTGATTTTGATTTTTCTCCCACCAAGTAACATGGCTTCCTCTCTCAGCTTCTCCTACTTCCCATTTCTCCTATTCAACACTTCAACCACTCATAACCTGCTCCTCAATCCTAATTGAAGCCATTATCATGTCCTTCTATAGCTCTATCTGATTGGAATGGTCCCATCTCTTACCACCCACCTGGAAGGCTCCTTAGGTCAAATTTCAATTCCTTTGTAAAACTTATTCTCACGCTTTCCCCAACTCTGAGTGTTCCCATAATATGTGTGAGGGGATGTGTGGGTGTGTATTGCAACATGACACAAGGTTAGACTCTGTAGATGCCTTCTGAGACTAAGAATGTGAACTATGAAGGGCAGCAGATGCAGAATAACAGAGAAACTGGAAAACCTTGTAGATAGGATGCAGGCTGGGCAGTCTCCTCATTGTGGCCACAGAAATAGCCTCAGCCACCAGGTGACCCCTCAGCAGGTGTGACTGTAACTGGTGCAGCTGGAAATCAGAGCTACTGACTCAGGTCTTGGCCAGGAGCCAAGCCATGGGGGAATCTGAAGGCAGGAACAACATAGGTGGGGGGCATCCGTGACAAGGTGATTGGAGCTAGAGCAGGAGAGAGAGCAAGGACTGAGGGCCTGTGAACCTACATCACTCAAGGGGGTCAATGTGTGGGGGTAAGACACCTGGATTCTCTTACCTGGATGACCATAGGTAACAGTTTTCCATCAGGCTGCAACTTGAGCATGACCAGTGGGGTTGTCATATATTGTTGCTTAAAAAGGATGACATTAGGTTTGACCCCTTCCAGCAAGGAAAAATCAGCTTCAAGCAGAGATCCAGCCTGGAGGACAGAGCACAGGATTGAATAATGGGGTTGGGATCTGTTCTGGACCTACCCTTCTCTCATGAAGGGTCATGGTGGACCCTTCTCTCTATCCAGTTTTTTTTTTTTGCTTTAAACAACAATCACTTTCATCATATCCAAAGCCCTAAATGCAAGGTTTCCATACCCAGTGTTTTCTATTAGAACTGAAGGTCCCTGTGGTGAACTTTCTGGTTTTCCACCATGTACCCCCATCTCTCACAAAGTCTTTCCTTATCCCCCCACTCTTTTAAGTTTTAACCAAATGTAGCACGAGATAGTTCCTTTGTCTGCTCTCTGCAGGGTTAGGGTCATATTCTCTATTTCCCTCCAAAAGTTTGATCTCCTTCCAAAAACAGAGATACATCTAATGAAGAAGGAAGAGCTGAAGACAGAGCTGGATGAGGGGAAGCAACAGGAGACACAGGAGATGGTGGAGATCTGTAGTTCTTGATCAGGGATGATTTTGTCCCCCAAAGGACATCTGGCAATGTCTGGAAACATTTGATTGTCACACTGGCATTGCTCTTGGCATCTAGGCATGGAAGCCAGGGTTGGTATACAGACACATAACATTTATCTGGCCCAACATGTCAGTAGTGCCAAAGACAACACACCCTAAATGTAGCTGGAAGAGTGTAGAAAGGATGTAGAAGGGAGAGATCCAGGGTGGGAGGAGGAGAGAGAAGAGGAGGGGACATGAGAATTGAAGGAGTCCAGCACCTGGAGTTCTCTCTCCAGCTCTGTCTTCAAGTCTTCCATCCCTGGAGACAGCACCAGGCAGGCTGGGAGACTCCTAGAACGCCTCAGGAGCATGGGGTTTGCGCCATTGCGAAACGGGTACCCAAAGAGGGCATCATCCTTCCAGCAATCACTGACCCGCTCTAGGGACATCAATTGGGAGCACATGGTGAGGTCTGAGGTGAGTTGAGTTCGGATGGACAGACACACCATACTTCTGCCCTCTCTTTTCTTTCAAATCCCTGGACTGGAAATGAGATTTCCAGAGGTTGTGCTAACTCACCAGCCACGGCAGTCTTTCCTTGAGGGAATATTCTTTTGAAGTCTTCCAGGTGGTTTACACATTTTGTGACATCCACTGTTCCCTTGAAGGCCAAGTCCTTAAGCCTGTGGAGAGAAGGTCAATGCGAGAAGATCAAGAGAGGATCCCGCCTGGCACTGAGGGATGCCGGTGCCCAGCCTTAACCTGAACTCATGCTTTTGCCAGAGAGAGGAAGAAGTCTAATTCTTTATCCTCGCGGAATCGCTCATTCCTGGGTGGGTCCCGCTGGGTACTCCCCTGGACAGGAAGAATCAACCGTCTTTCCAGGAGCCCCACCGCAGGGTCTGGCAGGGGGTCGGAGACTCTCACTCACCAGTACACCTTCCTTCTTTCCTCAAGCTCCTCCTCCCGATGTTTCTTAAACAGGTTCTGGGGGTCGTCACTCAAGGTCCGGGCTGGAGGAGGGGATGACTAGAGCACACGCCTTCACACTCGGTCCCTCGTCAGCCATGCTACTTAGCCCCTTTTACTTCTCCCACCTTGTCTGTCCCCCACTCCACCCTGCTTGCAGCTCGCCGCCCTCACCAGTGCCGTCCGGCAAGCAGACTATCCCGTCGTCCTCAGCCGTAGCAGAGGAAGAGGACCTCGCGTGGGTGTCGGGCCCCTCCATTGCGATCCACTCGCGGAACCAGTCCAGGTCCAGCAGGACTTTGTGCTTGCGCAGCTTCACCAGCAGGAGGCGCCCGAGGTATTGGGAGACTTTGATCTCAAACTTGGTTTCCTGCGGGTCAGGCAAGTTCACCAGGCAGGTCTGGGGCCCGCCAGGAGGGCGCCTGGGTCAGTGAACTTCAAGAAGTTTGGCTGCGTTTTCGCTTCGGAGCACTCTCCGGGAGAAGCCTGAGTCCGGGCTGGAGCTGAAGAGGCACAGCCCGTCTTGGGGAGCTCCCACTGCTGGTCCCCCAGAGCCGGGGAAAGCGCAGAAAGTCTACTCCCTCCACCTGCGTGGAGAAATTCCATTCTTTTCCCCCTACCTCTGGCTTTCTTTTTCCCCTACCTTCCCTAGCACGCAGTCTCCTTCCTTCCCTGGCTCCCCAGGACACCCCCTGCCATGGTCCCCCCTGCAGAGTTCGCACTGACCTTGAGGCTTACTGGCTGCAGCTGCTTGCCAACGTCAGCTTCCCGGTGCTACCCACCAGCCACAGTTGCCCTGGATTGTTGGGGACCGCCAGGATGGAGGCCCCGGTGGCCACGCGGATCCTGTACTTGCCCAACCTGACCGAACTTGAAGGGGAACGTGAGGAATACAAGCAATTCAGAGGTCCAGCCCCCTGACTCCACACCCAGATCTGGGTCCCTGTTGCGTTGCATCCCAGGGGCTCCACCTTCAGCCACAGGCTACTCTCGGTCCCTCTGGAACACGGTCAGTCAGCACGGTGTTTTCTCAAGCAGCCCTGGAAGGTGCAACCCACCCTTACCACTTGGCCAAGACTCCGGTGCTTGCCTGAGGGAGCCGGAAGCCACAGGCCTCCAGGTAAACACCGGCCATCACCTCCACCCAATTTTGGTGAATAAATGAATAAAAGAACAACAGGCCACAGAGATAAGGGAGGTGAAATGTTTTGAAGCGTGGGTGCATTTCCAGTGGAAACTTCAAGGTAAGTTTGGGGCTTTTTATTAAGGGCATGTATGAGATAATACCAAACAGGTAAAAAAAAGATTTGTTCAGAGTTCAGAGTGGGTGTCTGGAATTCCTGTGAGTCATGGAGCTTCCACCCGGCACCCTTGAAACCAGCTTTTTGACGCAAACATCTAGATTCAGCTCTTCTTCGCGTGTGAGATACCAAGGGCCAGTCCAAGAAATCTTCCTGCTTTGCTTAAGTTAGTGTTAAGTGGGTCTCTAGTGGATTAAAGAGAAAAATCTATTAGGAGTAAGTTCTTCAGGCATAGAAAAGAAATGACACAGTAGTGATGAACCTCACCTCTGGTGGGGTGGGTGGACCGTCCCCTCTTTCTGGGTAGTTGGTCTATGTGTGGATTTCTTGATCTGAGGCCACAGTTTTCCAATCCTTTTTTTATATCAGATAGCCTTATTTCAATACTTATGAACTTATTTTATAATTTCCCTTTCAAAGTCCATTCAAAGTTCCTGGCCTCACCCCTCCCTACCTCTAAAGTATGTTCCTCCACCCAGTTAAATGTCCTGACTCAATCTGCAGCTATTTTTGTACCTAGTAACACAGGGTAAAGGAGCTGGTGGGTCTGCTTTTCCTACACTTTCCCTTTTCTCTTTGAATTTCATGCTCTCATGCATCCTCTGTGAAAGAGGCCAAGGGACAATGAAGAAACTCCATTTAAGGAACTTGCTAAGAGCTTCTCTGCCATCTGGTACAGGTAACCTATGTGGAAATGATGGCTTACATAAGAAATGTTTCTTTTAAAAGATTCATTTTTAGTTATTTATGTATGGTACAGGCCAGAGGTGGAAAATGGCTCCAATCTGTCCCCTCCAAGGCAAAGTACATTATGGTGTTAAGGTCTTGGAATTCCTTTTTTTTTTTTTAAGATTTATTTATTTATGCATACAGAACTGGGGTGCAGGCCAGAAGTGCAGGAGCAGTGAGAGGATCCATCAGAGACAGAATGGGGAGCAGAATAGGCAGGTTGACAAAGTACACTGCTGAGGGGAGCAGCAGGTGGGTCAGGAGAGTCTCCCGCGCCATGTGGGTCACCTCTGCGGCTGGGGATTGAACTCACATTGAAGCGGCTGTGGCCAGCTTGCAGTGCCGTGCTTTAATCCTCTGTGCTACCAGGGAGGGCTGGTATCTCCTTAAAAAATCTCCAGTAAGTTTCCTTCATCCAAAGCCAGTTAAAGAAAAAAGATTAAATCTCACTATTTGCAACAACATAGGTAGAACTTGAGAGGGAAATAAGTCAGAAGGAGAAAAACCAATATGGGATGATATACTCATATGTGGAATATATAAAGAAACAAAACAAGGGAACAGACAAAGCTAAACCAAAACAAACCCTAAAATCTGACTGACGATTGCGGCTACCAGGAGGTGAGAGTGGGATGGGAGCACAGTGGGGAGAGACTCTAATGAGCTGGAGGGTTAGAGGGCTTTGGAGGTGAGCATGGTGTGCATGGTGTGCTAACATACATCTAAGAGGTGTGAGGCCATACTCCTAATAAACCAATATCACCTGAAAACAAAACAATACATTAAAAAAAAAAAATGTCTTCCTAGTGGCCTAAATGTTAAGTCTCAGTGCTGTCATCGCTACACACTGAGTTCGATCCCCAGCCAGGGAGCTGACCCACGTGGCGCAGCAGACCTCTCCTGTCTCGCCCACTGCTCCCCTCAGTGGTGTATTTCAGTAGATTCACCTGTTCTGCTCCCCACTCTGTCTCAGGTGAATCCTCTCACCTCCCCCCTTCTACTGCATCTCTGGTCTACACTCCAGTTCTATGCCAAAAAAAAAAAAAATTCTCTCCCCCCAAATTTTAAAAACCCTCCAGACCAATAGCAAACATGTTTCTATATTAAAGTGCATTGCCCAGATTCAGAAGACACATAGGTCTCTCCTCTCCTCAGTAATGGAGGTGAGGACTGAAAGGGCAAATGCTCCATCCTCCTAGGGCCTTGGAGTTCTTTATTATAATTTTTTAAAGACTTATTTATTTATTTATGCATACAGAACTGGGGTACAGGACGGGGAGGGGTTGAGAGGATTCACCGAAGGCAGAGTAGGGAGCAGAACAGGCAGATGGACAAAGCACACTGCTGAGGGGAGCAGCGGGCGGGTCAGGAGAGGTCTGCCACACCACATGCGTCACCTCCGGGCCCGGGGAGCAAACTGGCACAGAAGTGTCTGTGGCCAGCTTGAAGTGCTGCATCCTAACCCTTTGCACCACCAAGGAGGACCTATTATAATTTTTATTTCATTACTCTACATTCCAGTGAAGGCACTAGGAGATTCATATTCTGCCAGTTTTCCTACAACACCCAGGAACCCAAAAGACAGGTGGCACATTTAAATTAGGATAATTGGAGAGAAGTTTATTTACAAAGGAACAGATTATAAGGGGCAGTTAGGATGTGAGAGAACTACCAAGGGGTAGTGGGACAACCTGAAACTAGCAGCCTAGTGGCTGCATCACCCCTAAACCCAAGCAAAAAGGAGGAAAGAGAGATAACTAGAATCTAGAAAGAGAAAGCCAGGTAGAGCAGGCTTCCTTGAGAGAGCAATATGCTTTGGGCAAGTCTCACTGCCTAATATGAACTTTTAGAGAGGGATCTAGTAACATAAACACCTTGATGTCACCCTCCTCCTTCCCTATGGCATCCTCCTGGGGGTTCCCCATTGGAAAAACCCAACTGGAAGCCAGAGCCCATTGACATTTTCCGTAAGATCACCGTCCCAGGAAAGAGAGAATAGTGCTTAAGAGCCGGAAATTATCTGGAGAGATGGAAAGAATTAATGCAGAACAGACAATTTTTAGCAGACACTGTCAGTATTTACTAGAACTTCCCTTGGGTCCCCTCAACTTGGTTTTGGAGGAAAAAGAACACTGCCTCTCTCTTATATATTTAAGTGAAAACTTAAGGGACTATAAGAAGAAATAAGGGAAACAGTTCCTTTGTAAACACTGCACTCCACAGAGTACTAGGGACTTGTTCTATCTGTCCTCGTTTCACACGAATCAGAAGGTTGGTAGAGCCAAAGTGAGTGTAATAAGTTCTGCATGGGGTTGAAAAAATCATCCCCACGCCCCCACCCCGGAACAGAAAGTAGGCAGTGGTGAAGCAGCTGGTGAAACAATCATCAGTTATCTTCTGGGGCTCATACCTGTTGGCTTTAGGAGATGCAAAGACCGACTCTATGAATATCAATATGGTGACTCTAAGATGAGACACAGATTCTAGCTCAAGTCTGCTCAGCTGGAAGCAGATGAAAAAGCAGAATATTGTGTAACTGCTATGGTAAACTCTTTGATTACAATCAGAGATTTGAGAACCCTGGTGCAAAATCGAGAAATTAGTCATGAGTTGTGATGAATGTGGCACCACATCACTGAGCAAGAAAGTTGTCACAATAACTAGGAAAGTGGAGAATCCTGGAAAGGGAACAAAAGATGTTAGGGAATTTGCTCACTCTCCAGACTTTACTACCCCACCAAATTCTATCTCCATATGGTCCCCAGATAATGATTAAATATACCACACTATTCCATTGTAAAAAGGTTTCCACCATTACTATGAGACTCCAGCTGACGAGCAGGGCATAGTGACGCCTAAGAGTTGCCTCAATGCCACCCTTCCTTCCCCATGTCCGGGCAACAACACAGTTTAGCAGAGCTGTGTGGAGCTTTCAAGCTGACAGCTAAGAATGTAAGCTCCACATAGCTTAGTTCTAGTTATTAAGTCTCTGATGACGATTCATACGCTAGATAGACACTAAATGTTTATATGGATTTCTATGTGAATTTCTTTCTCAGAGCAAAAATAGTTAGCAACAGGGGCCTCTCTGGTGGTGCAACGGGTTAAAGCACCTCACTATGAAGCTACCGCAGCCACTGAAGTTTGATCTCTGGCCAGTGGGGTGACCCACATGGTGCAGCAAACCTCTCCTGACCTGCCCACTGCTTCCCTCAGTGGTGTATTTCAGTCTTCCCTCAGGGGTGTATTTCAGTAGATCCATCTGTTCTGCTCCCCACGCCTTCTCTGATGAATCCTCTCACCCCCCTCTGACCTGTGCCCCATTCTGACCTGTACCTCTAACCTGTACCCCATTCTGTATACATAAATAAATAAATCTTTTTAAAAAAAAAGTAACAGATGACAGACAGATTGATAGATAGGTAGGCAGAGATCTACACCCAGAGATATAGATATAGAGATAGAGATTTGTAGATATCTATGTCTGTTTTTCTCAAGAGAGAGAAAATAGTGTTTTCTCCCTCTACAACATAAGAACATGAGTATGGTTGTTGGGGGGTGTCTGTGATACGATGCCTTCTGCAAATCTCCTCTCTAGGAGGAAAGACTACCAGTTATTTGCATCCATTATTTCAAATTAGAAAAAGTGAAACAAGAAATTAATATTAAATTTGTCAAGGTTACTTCTGCAATTTCCGTCCTGTCCACGCCACTGCAAAACCTTCAAGCAATGGGAAAAGCCTCCAAACCCACATAGTATTTGGAGATTTGAGGACCTGCAGATATGAAACCACCTCAAGGGAAATGATAGAGAGAAGACTGGGGTGGTGGCTAAGGACGTCGGCTTCTGCGTCACACACTTGAGTGGGATCCTCGAACTTCCTGTGTCCACAACACTTTACTGAACTTCTTGGACTCTCGATGTTCTCATCTACAAAATGAAAGTAATAACACCAACATCTGAGCATTAAAAGTCTCGCTGTGCTGCTGCTGTTAATCCAGTTAATAGGCTGTTGTCAAATGGTCAATATCATCATTGAGCACAAAGAAGACTCAGGCTTGGGGGGCACAGGCTGTGACTGAACATAAAAGGAGGGCAGTAGAG